GGCAACTTTTTACTAGATCGTGAGAAAAATATCTGAAATTATTGTACTTGGAAAAATATAAGCAGTTCGTAATTATATTTTACAGAAGAATGCTTAGAATACCTTGGACAGCCAAAAAGAGCAACCAAGAGGTTTTGAAAGAGGCGGGAGCCCGAAGACAACTTATCACAGACATCAGAAGGAGACAGTCATCATTTTTCGGCCATGTTATGAGAAGAGGAAAAATAGAACACGTTGTGACCACTGGAAAGATCTGTGGAAAAAGGGATAAGGGAAGACAACAAGAGAAGATGCTTGACAGTCTTGTTGCATGGCATGCAGGTGTGTCGGCACACGAACTGATACATGCTGCAGGAGATCGCAGATTATGGAGAGGCATGATCGCCCATGCCAGTCGGCAAGGCACCTGATGATGATGAATTATATTGTTTGATACTCAGTCGGTACTGCGAGAGGTTCAAAAGAGAAAAATGTGGCATAAGTGGATACGACGCATCAGATAGATACATAATATTTATAAGAATCATCGCTGGAGCTACGGAGTGCGTGCCCTGTGCTTGATACCATCTTCAGATGGCAACGGAGAGAGTGGGAAGAGGAGAAGATGAGAAAATTCTGGGATGTACAAGAGATAAACTGGTAGTATGTATGCGATACATACTTGCACTGCCTATTATTTCAGATAGGCTCAAAGTTCTGCAGGCAAAATCATATCTCAGAGTAGCTGCAGACAAGAAGTACCTCCTGCAAGACGTCTTGGGTAGAGCTAAAGGTCACAGACTGAATCAAGGAAGGCCTTGGATTTGGCAAGCTGAAGACACAATTGGACATGTGTGCAGGCTTGATAAATTTGAGCGAGGAAAGGAGTAGGTCAAAGTGTCCGAACAAGTTTCAGACTTGTGTAGGGTTCAAATCACTTTAGGTCGTGAGTGTAGAGACTGGCCAGCTGGTGTTGCAGAATCAGAAGTTCAACAAATGATTCATGACAATTCGCGCGCGGGTGATGTAAATATCTATACAGATGGCTCTGTGTTGAGGGGCAGACGAAGTACATAGGGGTTCATAGCAAAGGAGAACGGACGTCGCTTAGTGCAGCATAACCTTGCATATGATATCACAACGTCTAGTTTGAGAATAGAGGTGGATACATTTACTGCTGCCTTCCGCTGGCTTAAGAATCAGCTGTACACACATGCCGTGATTGTAAATGATTCACAGAGCATGTTGAGAGAGGTGGAGACAGGCATGCTCCGTGCAGAGTGGCACCCATCACTTCAGACGTCCCAGGTAGTTAGCATTCTTTGGATAATTTTCTCCATGTCATGCCGGTGTGGCGGGAAATAAGCAGGCAGATAGATGTGTTTGATGTTGGTAGCTTATGGAGGGTTAAGGTTGTAGAAGAAATGAAAACTATAGCAAAATGGCGGTCGTTGTGACATATTATTGATGACTGCCGCTCAGGGAGGGTTTGAGTTGAAGTAAAAACGGGAATTTGTGGCAAAATGGTGACCTTTATGTCATAGTAGTAAATGCCGGATGCTCAGGGATGGTTTAAGCTGTAGTAAAAAGGAGAACGTATGGCAGAAAGGCGGGTTTCTTGTCATTGTGTTAGATGTAGGTAGTTCAGAGAGGGTTTGAGTTGTAGTAAAAATTAAAAATAAAGCAAAACGGTGGCTGTTTTGACATACTATCGGATACCGGCCGCTTATGGATAGTTTTAGTTGTAGGAAAAACTTTTTAAAAAATATATTAAAATGTTGACCGTTGTGTCATAGTGTCAGGTTCTCGACGAACAGATATGGGTGAGCTGTAGTAAAAAAGGAGAACTGTTGTGTCATATTGTTAGATATCGCCGCTCAGGGAGGGTTTAAATTGTAGGTCAGAGGCGGCGCTACCAGGCGACAAATGGGGCTGGCGCAATTTTAGGTGCCAAAAGGGCGGACAGCAAATCAGGGCACATGGTGTTATGCCTTTTATAACAAAATATGAAAACAGAGTAAATTCCGTTCATGAGGTGACACAATGTTAGAGGCGGATATTCAGTGAGAGGGTCAAATCGTCACGACGACTAGTTAGAGGAGGGGGTTATGAGCCGAGTGACACCATAAGTCACATAATGTACCTCACAATGTAATCACTGGTCTTTGTAAGTGGTTCACCGAAGTTTTTAGTTAAGTCATTCAGTGAACTTCACTAGCAACAACTCAGGAAATCTCAAAGCTGGTTATGTGTTTTCGTAAGGTGATAAGTGTCTTAGTAAATATTAAATCGCCCGCTGTCTCTTGTCCTTTGGGACACACAAAACAAATTCTAAAGTTGCTCACTAATTTCGGCAAGTCGCTCACTGAATCACTTTGGTAAGGCCGGCCACTCTCTCAGGGACACCCTATTTCATTCAACATTTTTCTTCTTTGGGATAGCCCAAACTGCCCAACAGGTGCAACAGTCACTGACTTCTCTTAACAAAGCTTCACAGATATTTCTTGGTAAAATGTTTACTGTTCTTAGGACAATCTAAGTCACCCCATGTCGTTCTCTCTGGGACACAATGTAACACATTGTCAAACATTTCTTAGTAACTCTGCCACGATAACTGGAATAGCCTGAGTCATTCGATGTCTTTATCAGTTTGGAAATCTTAAGTTGCGCAATGTCTTTTCTCGTTTGGGACACCTAAAGTCACAAGAGCATTCCTAAATTGCTCACTGATCTCGCTACGTCGTTTATGGAAGTTCTTTAGTAAGGTCGGCCACTATCCCTAGGTAACCTTAAAGCGTTCAATGTCTTTAAGCCTTTGGGTCATCTTAAGTTGCTCAATGTCTTTAACGTTTGGGATAGCTAAAGTCACTTGTTCACCAACCTTTCTTGGTAAGTCACTATTAAGCATTGGTACTTACTATTCAAGTCACTAAGATGTCTTTTCTGTTGGGGAAACACTTGATGTCTTGGTCCTTTGAGACATCCTAAATCCCACAAGGTATGGCACACGTCTTTCACCGGCTATTCCTGACGACTCGGACACACGGCGACTTTCGGAAAACACAAGGTAACATTCAGAAAACATTCCCCAGCATTCTGCTCCATAAAGAAGAACTGGCAAAATGATGTTCTTGTAGAGTCAGAGTTTCGTTCCTCTGTAGTAACTGTTAGGTTTCCAGATTTGCAGCTCTAGCTTTGCTCAGACGTGACTATACTACCATACGTGAAATGTTCTACATTTTCAAGTGTTTGGTTATTTATGGTCACTGGTTTTTTGGTTTGGACTGTTTGTTTGTGGATTGCGTCGCATTAATCCAGACGTCGCAAGAAGTGAAAGTCACATTGGTATTTTGCCCAAGCCATTCAGGTGTGTCTGGGAATGAGCAGGAAGAGAGACTGGCTATACTGGTCCCATGTGGGATGTACTGCAACTGTACAATGACCTCTAACCTGTGGGACAAGGTAACAGGTGAAATGAATGATATTGACAACCCGCACCTGGAGAGAATAACGCAGCGAGGAGTGGATGTAAGTTCTGAGCGACACTTGAGATTCAGAGAGAAGACAAAGAAGTTAACCAGATGACAACGGGTATCACCGTTATGGGAACCCTCCGCTGTCAGTTAAGGAGGGAGGCGGAGCTAATGTGGGATTGTCCCGGATGTTGTGATGTCGAATTTGTATCCAGACGAACCCAGAAGAAAGAAAAAGATTCATTCAAAGTCAATGTGCAACGGAAGGGTGAAAATCCATCAGTTTGCGCACAAATAAGCCAGATCTGTAAAACTGATGTGCACACAAAGCTCAAGTTCTGGAACAGAACCAGAGTTTAGAACTAGCTTTCAAGACTTTCAGCTGAACTTTCAGACCGTGAATGCAGAAGACAGAAATAAAGAAATACAAACAGACATACAGACTGACAGACAGACAGAGAGACAGAAAGACAGAAAAAGAAAGAAAGAAAGAAAGAAAGAAAGAAAGAAAGAAAGAAAGAAAGAAAGAAAGAAAGAAAGAAAGAAAGAAAGAAAGAAAGAAAGAAAGAAAGAAAGAAAGAAAAGAAAAGAAAGAAAGAAAGAAAGAAAGAAAGAAAGAAAGAAAGAAAGAAAGAAAGAAAGAAAGAAAGAAAGAAAAAGAAAGAAAGAAAGAAAGAAAGAAAGAAAGAAAGAAAGAAAGAAAGAAAGAAAGAAAGAAAGAAAGAAAGAAAAAAAGAAAGAAAGAAAGAAAGAAAGAAAGAAAGAAAGAAAGAAAGAAAGAAAGAAAGAAAGAAAGAAAGAAAGAAAGAAAGAAAGAAAGAAAGAAAGAAAGAAAGAAAGATCATAGAACAATACAGATGAATATTGCAGTACAATAAGCAACTGACAGACAAAGTAGTTTCAAACCTCGGTCAGTGCAAAATAGGAAAAACAAAACCGAATGGTTCCTCATTTTAGCAATATCACAAAAGCATGAATGTATGTTTTATGAAACAAATAATGTTCTAAAAGGAAAATGTTACTAATGTAATTAGGAAATAATACTACAAAGTTTGTTATTCTGAACCGCATCATTGCCTACCCCAGCGAAACGTGTAAAATAAGAAACGGGATAAAGCGCAGTTATCTAACGGATATTCAATCTGTAGGATGTTTTGAATGACCTATTTACAAGACATAGTTTTGTACTCCATTCATCAGCCGCTATAAATAGCAGATGACAAATCGCTATTTTTACACTGTGTCCCTTATTTCAAAATGATGAAATAGGAAAAAACAACGATAAATGAACTGTTAGCGTTCTTTACAATTCATAAAAAAGCTAATACCGGATATAATCTAGGTAAGGGCGAATGGTTGGCTGCTCCCGTTGTATGTTGTTTTTGGTTAGTAAGCATCTATTTTAAAGTGCAGACTAAAGTAATGATAGTTGTCCCCTAGCTATATAAAAGCCGACAAACCAACTAGGAAAAGACATTTAAACTTGGATGAATCAGAAGCACTAACTGAGAAACTACTTCAAGCAAACGTTTGACAAGCAGCATCATCATGTTCGACGAAGACGCCACCGCACTTGTTATCGACAACGGCTCGGAAATGTGCAAGGCAGGTTTTGCCGGCGATGATGCTCCTAGAGTCGTGTTTCCGTCCATCGTTGGCAGACCACGCCATCAGGTATAGTATATTCTTTTTGATTGATTGATTGATTGATTGATTCATTGATTCATTCATTCATTCATTCTTTCATTCATTCATTCATTCATTCATTCATTCATTCATTCATGTATTATCCTGTTGTGCAATCCTTTGCCCCATAGTGCTCGCATTCTATTCCTCCGTTCCCTTGTATCTAGTGCACTCGGTTCAATATACTGGATGCAGTCCAGTCCGGCACCTTTGACCTCTCCCATCAGTTTTCACTTTATAATTTCTTTTTTTTTGGGGGGGGGGGCGTCCCCGCCTCATTAATCTCTTTATTTGCCACTGTAGTGTCTCTCTGGTGATTCTCTGCTGGTTTCTTGCCAGGATGTGTTCAGATTAGCACCCTCTTCTCTGTCTTATAACTTTGATACTAGAGGTTGCCCAGGCATTTTTCTTATTTCCTCACTCGTCTTTAACTCATCCCATGTCATGATCTTTGTTTTCGAATGCGTTTCCCTTTCCTTCCACGTGTTTAGTAGTTGTCCAACTTACACTAGCATATGTTACAAGTGAAATAACATTAGAAACAAAAATACGCGATGTGGTTTCAAAACTATACAAGTTAAGAGTTCCATATTTTGTTCAGGCTTTTAAAAGCTGTGAATGCCTTGTCAGTGCGAGATAAAGCATATGCTCACTTTAATTTTCCAAAATACTAGTAGGTTGTCCAATCAAAGAAAAAGAATAATACAGGTCATACAGTGCGTCCTTGACCACTGGCGCCTCAATCAGATCTTCTACGCAGGTTGAACGGGAATCTGGCAAATCAACCTTTTTGGCCAGCTGTCCATATTGACATTTTTTTTTAATTCTCGGGATGATATGGTAACCTTATGTGGTAGCCCGGATAGGACAAACTGATCGATCGATTAAAAGGTCGCATGTGTGCCGACACAAAGAGAATATGGGGGGGGGGGTGAAGGTGCAGTCATGTTGAAAACCGCTTCAATAAGGGGGGTTGTACACAGGGGGCCTTGAGCCTGAGGATTTAGGGCCGTCTGGCCAGCGCTGTCGCCACGGACTGGTTAGGACATTTAATTTTGTCCCCGACAGAAAAACTACATCATCTTACGGAGGTTGAACTCGGGTCTCTAGCATGAGAGCCCGGTGTTGTAACCACTCGACCAGCTGACTTTAATAGGGAAGTGTGATGCGCCTAATGATATGACGAGGGGTCTATGTTATGTGTTTATTTTACATTTCTTAATGCTATTTTTGATCCTAAGCTGGACAAGGCACAAAGATTAGTTGTGTATACTTTTCATAACGTTGCAGAACCAACCCCAACAGCCCCTGTTGTGTGGTTTTTCTAGGAAAATTTACGTCCAGTAGTTTGCAATTGCTACTGGACGGTCGGCTTTCTTGATACTACTGTCCAAACCAACGCAAGGAGCATGGCCCGCAGCCGGGATCGAACCTGGCATCCCGGCATTACGAAGCGTTCGCATCGACTTAACCACATGGCCGACCAAGGCACAAAAGAGTAGTTAAAATATAAGTATAAAGGATTATTACAGGTAATCATGCACTTAATTTCAAAATTGCTTGAGCGTCCGTTTAAACTTCTTTCCACCTTCAGGTTAAAAACTACTGGTCGGGGAAATTTAATAGGCAATATGGCGTGAAAATAGGTGCTTTTTATGTGTTTGTATTACATTTTTATCACACTTTGTTATATTTTGTTATTGTCTACATTATGTTCCAATTCATTGCCTCGATGTTTCAGGGTGTGATGCGATGTAAGGGTCAAAAGGACAGCTACGTCGGTGATGAAGCCCAGTCCAAGAGAAACATCCTGAGCCTCAAGTACCCTATAGAGCACGGCGAAGTCACCAACTGGGATGACATGGAGAAGATCTGGCATCATACTTTCTACAACGAGCTGAGAGTTGCCCCTGAAGAACATCCAGTTCTGCTGACCGAGGCTGTTCGCAACCCTGAGGCTAACAGAGAAAAAATGATAGAGATGATGTTTGAGACCTTTGGCACACCTGCCATGTACGTATCCATCCAAGCAGTTCTGTCTTTATACGCCTCGGGTCGCACTACAGGTGTTGTAATAGACTCAGGGGTTAGTTCAACTTATCATATTCCAATCTTCGAAGGGTATGTCCTTACCCGCAACTTCCCTCGATGGATAAGTTTGGGTGGCTGTCAAGTTACAGATTACCTAACGAGGATCCTGAGAGAGCGCGGCCACAGTTTTGCGACCTCTGCTGAAAGGAAATAGTTAGAGACATCAAAGAGAAGCTCTGTTACGTCGCATTGGACTTCAAACAAGAGATGGAGACCGCCTCATCATCCTCTTCCATAGAAAAGAGCTATGAACTACCCGATGGTCAAGTCATCACCATTGGCAACGAACGCTTTCGGTGCGCCGAAGCACTGTTCTCGCCACCCATCCCGTATTTTGACTCATATGGAATTCACGAGAACGCATACATCTGTATCCGGTATTGTGATGTGGACATTCGCAGAGACATGTACGCCAACATCGTCTTGTCGGGTGGATCCATGATGTTTCCGGGTATGGCTGACCGAATGCAGAAGGAATTAACAGCTCATGATCCAGAAGCTTTGCAAGTCGAGGTAATAGCCCCTCCTGAACGTAAATATTCTGTGTGGATCGGGGGTTCCATCCTGGCCTCGCTCTCCACCTTCCACCACATGTGGATAACCAAACAAGAATATGAAGAATCTGGATCTTCAGTTTTTCATAGAAAGTGCATTTTCTGAGGAAGATCAGGACATTGATGCTTCGTGCAGAGTGGCATGCCTTGCTGCGGAGGACACGGGTTAGTATTGCATGGATTTTTCCGCCGTTGTGTTGGGAAATGAACAGGCGGACAGACTGGCTGGCTCTTCACAACTTGGTGGAATACTGATGCATGATCAGGCAGACGTGGTTGGTGCCTTGTGGTAGAGAGTGTACAGTTCGGAGGAGCATATGGATCACCACAGTCTGGTGAGACTGATGCAGCGGGGAGTGACGAGAGCTTCTGACAGATGTTCGAGGCTCAGAGGAAAGACAAGACGGACGTTTAATCAAGATGCTTCTGGTATTGCTATTGCTAATAGGCACAAAGTTTTGCAGGCAAAGTAATATCTCATAGTAGCTGCAGACAAGAAGCGCCTCCTGCAAAACGCCCTGGGTAGAGCTAAGGGTCACGGACTGAAAAGAGTAAGGTCTTGGATGGCGAAAGCTGAAGACACAATTGGACTTGTGTGCAGGCTTGATAAATTTGAGTGAAGAGAGGAGTGGGTCAAAGTGTCCGATCAGGTTGCAGACTTGTGTAGGGTTCTAATCACTTTAGGTCGTGAGTGCAGAGACTGGCCAGCTGGTGCTGCAGAATCAGAAGTTCAAGGAATGGTTTATTACACTTCACGCCCGGATGTTGTGATGTTCTAGACAGATGGCTCTGTGTTGAGGGGCAGACGAAGTACATGGGGTTTCATAGCAAAGGCGAATGTGCCTCGCTTAGTGCAGTAAAGCCCTGCGTATGATATCACAACATCTAGCTTGAGAATAGAGGTGAGGGCAGTCTCTGCTGCCTTATGCTAACTTGAGAATCAGCTGTACACACATACCGTGATTGTAACTGACTCGCAGAGCATGTTGAGAAAGGAGAAGACAGGCATGCTCCGTGCAGAGTGGCAAGCATCACTTAGGAGGTCCCGTGTAGTTAGCATCCTTTTTATAACAATCCTTACTTCTCTTGTTCCTATTGAGAATGCATTACATCCCCGTGTAGGTCCCTATCGGCATTTGGATGTAAGGAGTGGGGATAGACCCACTACCTACCTAAGAAGCATGTCGTAAAAGGACTGATTAGCAATTTTTCATCCAAAGTCGTGCTGTATCTGCCTGAGCGCCGAGTCTGTATACAAGTAATCTAGATCTGTAAAATGGATGGGCCTGCTAAATGCAAGTTCTAGAACAAGGCTGAGGACCAAAAGTGGACGAACAATCAGAACTTTCCGCCGGAGGGTGCAGCCGGTGAACGCTAAGAAGCAAAGCAGAAGAATACATTACAGGGACTCCAGTGGATATACTTTCCTTGATATACAGGAGTGGGAGGCAATGAAAGAGCGGCTTTCTTTTCCGCCTAACTAAAGTTACAGCGCTATGAAAATTGACTTAGAGCAAAGCAGACATTCTGAATATCAGTTATGAAGGTATGCTCGTGGCAGATATAATTTTAGAGGAGACTACAGGCATAAGGAGTTTCTTTCGTCCAGCTACTGGGTTCGGAGCTTAGTGCGATAATGAGTTGTGGATTTCATGTGGAAGGTTTTGCGACTGGCTAGTTGCTTTCAGAATGGTTTGTACTTTTGCAAGTACAATGCCGGTTTTCGTGACTGACCCTCACGCTAACAATGAGCTGCAATTCTGGTGTAGGGTCGTTGTTGTTGGCTTTGTGCATTTTTGCTATGCATGTACAAGCTTCAAGATTTTGCTGTGACTGACAATAGCGTACAAATGGGTAACTGGGTGACGGTTTGTGTGATTTCCACTATCTGGGAACAGAGCAGTTACAAGAGCGAACTATCTGCAGTGTAGTTGGAACCTTGACTATAACGGCTAACTAACATGCGTAAGGCTGTATGGATTGGGAAATACAAACGAAAGAACCAGAAAGAACGTTTGCTAGGAAAGTAAGGACGTGTATAAAACCTCTTTGCTGCTGAAACATTTAGCATCTATACGTTAAGACAATCACCGCGGGAGACGGAACATCTATGGGCAAGCTCGATGTGATACGATGTCGATTCTTAAATCGGTAATCAGAATCCATTGGGTAGAAGATGAAAAGGCAAATGCATTTACCCTTGTCCTCCACACAAACTACATTCAGCGATATAGATCATAAATACCATTACGAAAACGTATCAGGACAACAGCCACAAAAATCGCCCACTGGATTCATCAGATGGCATGCAATATCGATGTGTACCGACTTCTTATCACCACCCGGACACATAAAAAGCCAAGTGCAACGAGGTATTTGGCCAGACATCGTTAGCATTTTGACAAGTCGTCGAGAGGTTGGATAATCTGGCGCAGAAATCAAATATAGTTATCAAATTACAAGTGCCTGATGGCAGAGACACACAATGACGAATCAATATCGGGTAGTGGGTGCAGATTCACAGATTGCGGTATCTTCAAGAATGATCAGCTTGTAGTTAAAAATCGCTGATGGCGTTTACAGGTAGCAATTCAATTTTGTTCCCCGTTCAAGCTAGAGTTGTTTAAAGACCGAAACGTGAAAAGGTAGTATTCTCCTATTAGATACGATGATTTCATTTGCATATTAACGATGTCTGATTTGTGTGTGTGTGTAGAGGTTACATACCCAAAATCAAACAGGTCGATCTGAGCGGCGCAGTTCATGCGATGAACGATTTGACATGAAGACAATAAAACGAAAAACCATATCAATAAACAATTTCATCGGAATGAGTAATGTCATGAAAAACAGACAAATCATTACAGGGGTACTAATCTGCTTCCTGAAACTGTATGTGGCGTGTTCTTCTCTATGAACAAGAATGTCTTTCTTGTTTTGTCGTCTTGCTATTACCAGGTTGTAACCTAGTGTCGGGGTTTTCTGTATTTGTTTTGTGTTTATTTTTTTTTTTTTTTTTGCATTTTTTTTTTAAGGTTTCAGCCACACCATTAATCAAAAAAAAAATGCAAGAATGTAGAATTAGAACAACAACAAAATAACTAACAAACGACTGGCGATAAATATATGGATTACAGAATGTGGTAGTGTGAAATTGGAAAACAACACGTACAGAGGTACACAGCGGCGTCCGTGGCCTAGGCGTTGCGAGTCCGACTCATAATTCCATAGTATCGCCATCGAAACCCACTGCTGACTGCGTAGATTGTTATCGTGTTATGGAGCGTCGCAGGTCGACCCAGACTAAAATGGGTACCAGGATGTATGTCCTGGGGAAGTAAAGATGGCTGGCGTAATGCTGACCCCATTACCCACCTAGTGATGAAGACGATCATTCTCTTGCAAATAACTGTCGTGGAGTTCCTAAATCAGAAAGTCTATCCGGAGGCAGGACCAGACAGACACAAATAAATCATTGGACCAAACAGACACAAACAAAAAAGGAGGAAGTTAACAGACAATCCACAAAGTGCACACGACATTGTTGAGTAACCGATCCGTTGCTGACTTACTCAAACAACGGGCCAGCAGATGCGATATGATTATGACATTTCCTTCAGTTACGTCAGACGTTGTCCCACTGACACACAAACGATCCAAGCTGTTACAACAGTCACGTTTTAGTTGGCTTTTAGATTGGTCTACTAGTGTGGGGATTTAATTAGCATGGTAAGGCAGATGTAAATAAAGCAATCATGTAGTCATTCAACCTGTCTGCCTGTCTGTTCGCGTTCATGCCTGTATCTGAATGTCCGTCAGTCTGTCTGTCAGCCTGTCTGTCTGTCTCTCTGTCTGTACAAGTGACATGAGGTATAAAAGAAGTGATGTTAGAAGGGCTGAAAATTTAGCGAACATGCGTATCCAACTCTCCGACCTTGAATATAAAGTCGCACTCTTGTCTTTCTTCTTCTTCACGTCCTTGTGAATAAAAAAAAGTAAAGTAAAGATCCCTTTTCACGCCTTTCGGCGCATCGGGCATATGGGCAGAGTGAATGTTGAATGTATATAGTGTCGATGTGTGCGTCGACTCTTTCTCCTATCACCTCATTCACGATGTTGTCTACTTTGGTCTTTTAACTGTGTATTTTGTTTTACCTGACCTAGTTTTCCAGGTCTACAAAGCCGAAACCGGACAACAGGAAATGTCTTTAGGAGTACTGTCTTTAGAAGTACTGTCTTCAGAAGTACTGTTTTCAGGAGTATTGTCTTCAGGAGTACTGTCTTCAATACTGTCTTAAGAAGTACTGTCTTCAGGAGTACTGTCTTCAATACTGTCTTAAGAAGTACTGTCTTCACGAGTACTGTCTTCAGGAGTACTGTCTTTGATACTGTCTTAAGAAGTACTGTCTTCAGGAGTACTGTCTTCAATACTGTCTTAAGAAGTACTGTCTTCAGGAGTACTGTCTTCAATACTGTCTTAAGAAGTACTGTCTTCAGGAGTACTGTCTTCAGGAGTACTGTCTTCAGGAGTACTGTCTTCAGAAGTACTGTCTTCAGGAGTACTGTCTTCAGGAGTACTGTCTTCAGGAGTACTGTCTTCAGGAGTACTGTCTTAAGAAGTACTGTCTTCAGGAGTACTGTCTTCAGGAGTACTGACGGCGGAGTGGTTTGACGGCTAAAAAGACTGGAACAGCAAAATAAAAGTACGAGTGCATACATTTCCTCCCGTTCTGGCAGATGCTCGAGGCTCAGAGGAAAGGCAAGACGGACGTTTAATCAGAATGCTACTGGCACCATTAGTATCGGAACTCTATACTGGCTGCTGAAGATGGGGACGGAGCGCTTATGGGAATGCCCTGAGTGCTGTGATGTCGGTTCTGGAATCAACTCAACTCAATGTCCCCCCCACCCGCATCCGCTTGTAAAGCATTATGAAGCACGAAAATGCCGCCTTCCAGACCAAGACTGGAGATACAGCCAACTTTATTGTACACATGATTCGCGATCACTCGCATGGGTAGCAGAACAAGCGGCCACACATGTGAAAATCGTTTCAGACTCCATGAACATGCTCCAGAAAATCGCAACAGGTAGTTTACCCTCTGA